TTGTCTTCTTCTTCTCTCCTCCTCCTCCTCCTCCTCCTCTTCCTCCTCCTTCGTCATCTTTTTTTTTTGTTTTTTTGTTTTTGTTTCCGTCACCGCAACTCAAAATCGGCAGGTCCTCCTCCTCCTCCTTTCATCTTCTTCTCTTCTCTTCGCCTCCTCCTCCTCCTCCTCCTCCTCCTTTCTCCTCCTCCTTTCTCCTCCTCCTCCTCCTCCCCCTCCCTTCGTCGTCTTCTCTCCTCTTCCTCCTCCGTTCTCGTCGTCCTCCTCCTCCTCGTCGTCCTCCTCGTTGTCCCAATCTATCGAGTTTTTTTTCTTTTTCGTTTTTGGACCTTTTCTCGAATCGTGTGTCGTCCTTGCATCAGGGTCATGCTAATCATCTTTGTGTCGTTCCCATTGCGCCGGATGTCCCGAAGGACCCTGGTTTTTTGGTTCGACCTTTTCTCGATTTGTGTTTGTCATCCTTGCGCAGGGGTCATGCTGATCTAGAGGGGCCTTTAGGGCTTGATGCGCAGGGGCCGTCAGGGCTTGATGTACAGGTCATCATGTCGAGCGCCATTTTGATGTTATTGCTGCGTGCAGGCCCCCTTTTTTTGTCTTTTCTTCGTATTAATTTTGTCTCTTATTGCTGCGTGCAGGTCATCATGTCGAGCCGCAAGTATGAAGCCAGCCTTGTGAAGCGCCATTTTGATGTCCTTGGCCCCGCGGGCAAGGATCCTTCGAAGGGGGGAAAGTGGTGGCTTTGCCATTACTGCGATCTGAAATTTTCGGGCAATCTCAATCGCCTGAGGGAACATTTCACGAAGGGGATTTGCGCAGTTGAGAAATCAACGAAAACATTGACCACAAAGGAAATCTTGAGAAGGAAGGAAGGATTGCGGCAGGCAAGGATAGACTCGGGCATGCCGAGGGACGGTGCCAATGCCCTACCTGTTGTCACCAATTTGGTGGCTGCTTCTATGATCGAAGGGGTGGGTGACGCTTGTGACGAAGCAGCGAGAGTCGCTTGTGGCGAAGGGGTGGGCGGCAGCGGGCCAGGTATCACGGTGCAGCGCACAGGTGCATCTGCTGCACCTGCTGCAGGGATGCGACAAATGTTGTTGGAGGACACCGACTGCGTCGTCACAAAGAATGAGCAGACGTCAAGAAGAGTAGACCGCTGGATGACGTGCACGAACCAGCCATTCAACATGGTTGAGAACGAGTTCTTCAACGACATGGTGGACACCATACGAGAGGCCCACCCGTCATGGAGACTGCACTCGAGAGAGGTGGCGCGTAATGGCCGATTAAACGGACAGCACCAGAAGGCGATCGAGGACGTTGGGAGATTGGCGAAGAAGTGGGATCGCACCGGCTGTATGGTGCAAGTAGATGGGTGGTCTGACTGGTGGGGAAGACCACACGTAAGCATTATGGTGTCCTCTCCCATCGGCACCGTCTTTTGGAAGTCGGTATGCGTAGCGGGAAAGGACAAAGACGCCTGTGCGTACTACAGAATACTCTCCACTGCGATTGAGGAGATTGGCCCAAGAAGCGTGGTTGGGGTGATCATGGATAATGCCCGGGTTTGTGTGAAGGCCGGGAAGTTGGTGGAGAAAAAATACCCGTGGATATTTCGAGTGGGTTGCACGGCGCATGCCCTTGACCTCGCGTTGGAGGACATGGACAAGCGCATTCCGTGGTTTGCGGAGACTGTGAAGAGGGGGAATGTGTTGGGGAAGTTCGTGATGAACCACGACAAGGTTCGAGCACTCTTCCTGACCAAATCGGGTGGTGGCGAGATTAAGAGGCCAGGCGACACTCGATTCGTGACCAACATCATCATGTTGCAGTCGCTGTGGGACAGGGGAAATATCCTGAAATTGACTGTGGCTGCCAGCGGGTGGGTCTCCTCCCTGGTGCCGCCCCACCTGCGTTCTCAATTCGAGGAGGTGACGGCGACTATCTTGGATGGCGGTTTTTGGAAGCGGGTGGACAAGGCCTTGACGACCACGGAGCCCATCGTCAAGCTACTGAAGCTCGTCGATGGTTCGGGCGCAACAATCGCCAAGGTTTATCATCGAATGGATGGTGTGGTGGAGTCGATTCGCAAGCTGGACATCTTGGCAGACTTCGAGAAGGCGGAGGTCGAGTCGATCCTCATGGATCGACGGGCGTTTATGACTTCAGAGCTGCATTGTGCAGCAGCCTTCTTGGACCTGGAGTACAGATCGCAGGGCTCCTTCAAAGGCACTGAGATCCGAGCCGGGTTCAACATATGGTTGTATACCTGGTGCACATACGAGATGTTTGATAACGTGAGCTGGCAGGTTGATGAGTGGGTGAACTTCAGGGGGGCCTTGCAATCAGAGGAAGCTTTGCACGCAGCACTCACCAAGACCCCGGCGATGTGGTGGGATGCGTTTGTATCGCAGCTGCATCTTTTGCAGCCTCAAGCAATCAGACTGTTGGGCCAGGCAAGCTCATCCACGGCATGCGAACGCAACTGGAGTTTGCATGAGCTCGTTTTTGGCAGGAGGAGGACGAGGATTCTGCCCACACGCCTATCAAAGCTCGTCTACAACAATTGGAACCTCCACCGGCAGTGGAGGCAAGAGTGCGGCCGTGGTGTGGATGATGTCCACACTCCGTGGGTGGAAGAAATGTCGGACGTCGAGTTGAAGGAGGAGGCAGAGCAGTTGTACAATGATTGGGTGAAACGGGTGAAGAACAGCATGCTAAGTGGCGAGAATGACGCGTCGGACGGGGAAGGCGAGTCGGAGGACGACGACGATGGCGAGGAAGTGCCTATGGCAAGGAGGTGGTTGCGCAATGACGAGGTGGACAATGCAATGGACCAGGAGGAGGGCCTTGCGCACATAGATAAGTACACGAACGACTGGCGCGTCAACACTCGACCGGGGAGACAGCTGGAGCGTGCCTTGCAGAGGTTGTCGGGCCATCAACACCCAACATCTGAAGTGCAGTATAACAAGGAGGACCGGGAGCTTGCGCTGCGGGCTCGAGAGACGGGTGATTGGGTGGAGGGTCGAAAGAAAGGCGGAAGCAGCAGGCAACGTAAAGTGCGGCTCGGTGATGAGGGTCGCCGTCACGGTAGACGTGCTGCGGAGGAGGTCATTGCACCTCCGGAGAAACGGAAGAGAGAACGACCGACCAACAAAGAGGCCGCAGCAAGAAAAGCAGCAATGCGAGCTGAAAAGAAAAAGGCAGCGTTGGAAGCATTGAGAAAAAAAAAATCCGCCGGAAAGAAAAAAGCAGCAACAAAAACAAGAAAGAGGGACGACATCATCGACGATGACGGCACAAAAGCATGTTCATCGTCTTCATCTTCATCAGAGGAAGAGGATGATGAAGGTCATGATGCCAACGACGGAGAACCGCGGAGTGTAGAGGAGGGAACTGAGCGTGAGGAGGAGGAAGAGGAAGGCAAGGAGGAAGAGGAAGGCGAGGAGGAAGAGGAAGGCGAAGAGGAAGAGGAAGGGGAGGAGAAAGGAAGGGGTCGCAGAGGAAGAGGGTGAGACTTCTGCACAGGGAGGTGCAGAGGATTAGGAAATTTCGGCTGAGTTGATGTCGCTGACTGCAAAGTTTGCGGTTTCGCGGTTTATCTTTCGATTTTTTGGTTGAACTTAGAACGAAGTAAGAACTGTGAACTACAACTTCTAGAAGTTGTAGTTCATCTTCTCATCATCAGTTAAGTAACTTAAGTAAGTCTTTAAGTTAGCATTTTGTCCATTTTTCCCGTGTTGTAGTGTGCTTGTGTGGTTTTCTGTCATTTGCCCATTTGCAGTGTTTTGTTTTGTTGGCTATGCAGTGTTTCTATATGTCTGCATCAGATAACAAGTGATAACAACTGAACAGGTGAGTMCCCTGCCACATTGCCTTCCCCGCCAATGCATTTGCTACAGTCCCCTGCCCTGCAAAGGTGTGTACTCCCCCCCAACAATGCCCCCTACCCTGCAGAACCTCAAAAAAAAAAAAAACGGGTCCCTACCAACCCAGACGGTGCGGGGGAAGGCACCGCTCCAGTCCCAGACCAAACCGTACCGGGCGGAAGAGTCCCGGACTGCACCCCGTCCGGTCCGGTCCGGGGGGAGGGTGCCGCACGCGGACAAGCGGACCGGACCGGACGGTCGTCTGGTCCGTCTGCTTGCAAGTATGGTTTAGACCATGGTTAGACAAGTTTGTGGTAGTTTACTTAGATGATATCCTAGTTTTTAGTAAGACCCTCCAGGAGCACCAGGGTCATGTGAGGCAGGTCCTGGAGAAGTTGAGAGAATCAGACTTCAAGATCAACGCGAAGAAGTGCGAGTGGGCCAAGACACAAGTTTTGTACTTGGGCCACGTATTAGACGGAGATGGCATTAAGCCAGAGGACAGCAAGATAACGGCGATTAGAGATTGGTCGACGCCCCGCACATTGACAGTGTTGCGATCATTCCTAGGCCTAGCTAACTACTACAGAAAGTTCGTGAGGAACTTCTCCACGGTCGCCGCTCCCTTACGCAGGTTGCTAAAGAAAGAGGCAATCTGGCAATGCGACAAAGACTGTACGTCTGCGCTCAAGAAGTTAAAGCGCGCGTTAATAGAGTATCCTGTCCTCAAAGTAGCTGATCCGTCCTTGCCATTTGTTGTCACCACGGACGCAAGTCAGTATGGGATAGGCGTTGTGTTGCAGCAGGATGACGGCCATGGCTATAGACCCGTAGAGTTCATGTCCGCGAGGATGCCCTCAGAGAAGGTAGCCACCTCGACGTACGAGAGAGAACTCTACGCTCTCAGGCAGGCTCTAGACCATTGGAAGCATTACCTGCTTGGGAGGCACTTCAAAGTGTATTCTGACCATGAAACGCTTAGATGGTTAAAGACTTGGGCCAAGATGACACCTAAGCTAACTAGGTGGGCCGCTAAGATAGACCAGTAAGTACAACGTAGTTGCGGATGCTCTGAGTAGGAGATCAGACTACTTCGGAGCCATAGTACACTATCTGGATATAGAGAGAGACCTGCAGGAGAAAGTGAAGCAAGCATATGTGCAGGACCCTATCTATAGCGACCTCCTAAAGAGAGTTAGAGAGGCCCCAGAGACTGAGCCAGATTACCGCACAACAGACGGGTTGCTGTTTGAGAAGACTAATTGACCGCCTGTGCGTTCCCAACAGCGAAGAGATCCGCAGTTTGATCCTACGGGAATGCCACGATACTGGGGGACATTTCGGTTGGCAAGAGACTCTAGCCAATCTGATGCGTGCGTACACCTGGTCAGGGATGAAGAATGACTGCATAGAGTATGTCCGCAGTTGTAAAGTGTGCCAGAGGAATAAGTCTACTACACGCGCGCCCCTAGGTCTTCTCAGACCCTTGCCTATTCCGGATCAGCCGGGAGACTCAGTGTCCATAGACTTCATGGACACCCAAGTCAAGAGCAGACATGGTAAGAGCCAAGTCATGGTCATAGTTGACCGATTTAGCAAGTATGTAATTTTTGTTCCTTCGCCTGCAGAGGCACGTACAAATTTAGTTATACGAAAGTTCTTTGATTTCTGGGTTAGTGAGAACGGAATCCCATTGTCGATAGTTAGCGATAGAGATAGTCGCTTCACCAGCCTGAACTGGCAAAAACTCATGAGAGTCTACGGATCTAAGTTGTTGATGTCGTCTGGCCGCCATCCAGAGACTAATGGTCAGACTGAACAAATGAACAAGATCCTGCAGCAAATCTGCGCATGTACATTAGACCCGATCAGATCGACTGGGATGAAATGTTACCCAAGGTAGCTAGTGCTTACAACAACAGCGTGCATCTCTCCACCTGCCGCACTCCCCATGAGCTGCATAAGTCCTTTAGACCGCGTAGACCATTCGAAGGATTGAACCAAGATCAGATTCACAGGCTACCACACGGTACCAGGGAGTTTGCGATACAGCACGAGAAAGAGCTAGCAACAGTTGTAGAGAACCTCAGGAAGAGCCAACATAGAATGATAGAGCAGGCTAATAAGCACCGCCGCCCGTCGCAATTTCAGGTAGGCGACTTAGTCTGGGTCAAAGCAAAAGAGTTTGCACCTGAAGAAAACATCTCGCAGAAGTTACTGCCTACATATAGAGGACCGTGGCCGGTTCTAGAAGTCTAAGGGCGGAGAGGATGGACCATCCTACACTATAGAGATCCCAGCACACCTCCACACATACCCCGTGTTTCATGCTTCAAAGCTGTTGCCGTGTGTCACAAGTCAACAGTTCCCTTCAAGAAGATCCATGATCCCCCCGGATATGGATGGAAGTTATGACATTGACGACATTGTAGATGAAGATGTGTTCATAACAGGAGGTAGAGGTCGTCCCCAGAAGCAGTATAAGGTCCGGTTTTCCTATCAAGAACCGGAAGACGACCGCGGGTTCACAAGAACATAACTTCTAGAAACCGCTCCCGACATAGTCAGAGCCTATGAACGTGACAGGAAAGGTAAAGGTCCCGCCTTGGACTAAGATGTTCTCGGAGGACCTCGAATTTAGGACGGCGGGAGTGAAACGGTTTTCACCTTTTAGCAGTAGCAGATGTAGTACCCAGGGTTCGATCCCTAGACCTCACCCTACCCCTGTACAGTATCTGTGTAGACCCGAGAGTTGAACCTGTGACCTGTGTATTCGTAGACAGCTGGTAGGTATGTCATAGGTCCGTAGGAAGCAGGGGTTCGATCTGTAGATCTATAGAGTAGAAGTCTTAGTGAGTTCCAGAAGCTTAGCTGTAGTCCTTCTAGAAGGTAGGCAAGTGGGCAAGTGGTCAAGTGGCGAGGCAAGTGGTGGACTAAACTGCAGTGCAACTGCAGCACGATGACGGTAGGATAGCAGTGAGTCCACGGTCAGTCAGCGGTAAAGTCCAGTCAGTCCCAGTCCGGTCCAGCAAGTACCACAGGGGACTGTGAGCACCATGGGCGGATGGCAACGGGCAGACCAACGAGTTTCTGAAGTATAAATCAAGAGGCAGCGCCCAGCCATTCATTCATTCCTGCGTGAGCCATGCGGAAGCGCTACCTCAGCGACTTGTGCAAGGAGGTCTGCAGAGAGCCCGGAGGACGCAGTGGGCGAGAGAGGAGGAGCTTAGTCTAGCGATAGGGTAGAGGCAGCCATAGCTGCCATAGCTGCCATAGCTGTAGTTAGTGTGAAGAGTGTGTGTGTATGTGCGAGTCCAGAGTTACGCGTGTGGGATATCCAGGGTGATCCGGTGTGTGTGAACAGTGAGTTGTTTGGGCGCTGAGTTGCCATAGCCAGTTGAAAGTGAACTCTTATCTGGATGTCATATCTCTGAGTTTTGGGTGGGCGCATGTCGCCAATTTGCTGCGCTGCTGTTTACATGCATGAAAAGTGTGAATGAGAACTAGTCTGATTGCATTAGCCACACAGCACTGTAGAATGGACACACTTGTGAATGCAAGATGGAAAAGGACGAACGCGCCTTAGGGCACGACAAGCATTAGTCCATCCCGACCTCAGAAGGGTCTCGCTCCACTACGCAAGCTTGGTGTTCTACCAACCCGTTGGCCCCCCAAGCCAGCATTAGCAGGACCTTGGTTGATGTTGTTGGTTGCTATGCAGCGACAATATTGGCCATTAGACACCGCCATGTGGGGTTTGGGGGGGGGGAGGGGGAGGTGCAGTGACTGGCCATTGCT